AAAACCTAAAAAGTTTTTTTTAATGAATTAAATAAAAAGTTACCACAACCACATATCTGTCTACTGTTTGAGTTGGATTGAAAGTAGTCAAAATGAATGGAAATGGTTTCATATTAAAGAAAAGTATAGCTTTATTTGAAATGTGGAGGACAAAGGAGAGAATCAGAATAAAGGTTTGACAAGGCCAAACCAGGCTATATAAGTTAAAGTAAATGAGCAGCACAGTGAATTTGGAAAGAATGAGCTTCAGTCTGGGTCCGAGGAGCATGTGGCAGCAGCCTCCTGCCTTCTTCATATATACAGTTAGTGGAAAATGTGTATTTGTGTATCGCCATGTGGATTAATGTGATTTCATGAGAATGTTATTAAGCACAGAGAGTCTAAATGGTAAATGGTCTGCACTTATATTGCGCTTTTTAACCTTAGCGGTTCTATAAAGCACTTTACATTGTTTCTCATTCACCCATTCTCACACTTATGCCGCTAGCCTACCATCGGGAGCAACTAAGGGTTCAGTGTCTTGCCCAAGGACACTTCAGCACGTGGAGGCCTGTGAGCCAGGAATCAATCCGGCAACCCTATGATTAGTGAACAACCTGCTCTACCACCTGAGCCACAGCCCCCCTATATATATATATATATATATATATATATATATATATATATATATATATATATATATATAAATACAGACACACACACATATATACATTCTGTGTGTATATTTGTGAATGATGTTTAAAAGAATCATTTGAAGTATAAGATGACGACTCTGCTTCCCTGTCTTGTAGGTCTTCATCAGATTATGTGTGTGTGTGTGTGTGTGTGTGTGCCAGGATGACTGTGGCAAGCAGCCGGTCTGCCAACACTCCAACCTCAGCCATGTGCGACATCTGTTGCCACGGTCACCACTAGCAGTCTACACAAAGCCCAAAGCCTAGCAGTTAATAATAGCAACATTAACAGTTATAATAATAACAGCACGTTCTAAGATCTGAGCCATACTTCATCCTACGCAGCCTACACTTGTGGGTGTCTCCTAAATAATCTCCCAAAAAGATGGAAAGTTTGTGGAACACTCATTGCATGGTATCTGACACTAATAGCTGTTGATTTTGAAAGTTAATATATCACCATATAGCACTGCAGTAACAAAAGTTTTTTTCTGGCTGATTTAATTATTAAGGCTTAAGTAAAAGATCACATGTCATCAAATAAATTAAACATGCATATACTCTACACCTTTAAAGTTATGACAACCTAAATATTTTATGGTTATGTATTTTTATCACCACTTTAGTCTTATGGTATGAAGATGGTATTACTATATGGTTTTAATTGCCAGAAATTAGACACGCAACCAACCATACATGTATATGTGCCACCAAGAAAATGACCAAAGTCTTTGAACACTTGTCGTTTCTTTCTCCTCTCTAATACTCAACGGAAGAATGATTGATAAGCCACAAGTACAAAATCATCTTCTGTCTGATTCAAATTTTTCTTCACCCTTTACCTACTGATGACTTTAGATATCCATTTTGCTCATTTCGTGCATTTTCAGGCTTCAGGCTTTGCGCTCCTACAATTCAGTCATGTAAAATTTCCATACTGAACAAGGATGCCATTAAATCAGCATCTATACCAATGACCATTAAGTTCTTAGCTTTTCCAATTAGTTACTTTTTGGGTAAAAAAAAAATACATTGTGTTCTTTGATGCTGAGGTTTCAGTTGCCACATTGCGTATGTTATTTAAATAACATTCACACCAGACAAAAAAAATAAATTGGTGAAGGTAGATTTTTTTCATACCAATAAACCTTTAGTTAAATGCATAGTAATTTAGAATTCTGTATATTCATCAGTTTTGCATGATTTACACAACATTAGCTTCTAAGACAGTGATTAGAAGTTCGCATGAAAAACCCCCTTTAAAAATAGGTAAGCTGAGACACAACCAACAACAACAACAACAAAAACAACAAAAAACTTAACTTGCTATCAGTGTGTCATCCTGATTTGTTATATCTGTGATGGATCCAGATTTTCACCCAAATCCTAAAAGTACATAAAAAGAACCCAATCTAGGAATCCTCTGGGATGTTGGTGGGTTTCCTGACATGAACTGCTTGCTTCTATTGGATTAAAGTCAGGACATTGACTTGGCCATTACAAAACATTAACTTCATTCTTCTTTAACCATTCTTTGTTAGAGTGACTTGTGTGCTTAGGGCCGTTGTCCTGCTGCATGACCCACTTTCTCTTCAGATTCAGTTCATGGGCAGATGTCCTGACATTTTCCTGTACAATTCACTGGTATAATTCAGAATTAATTTTTCCATCAATGATGGCAAGTTGCCCTAGCACCTAGTTACACTAGGTGGTTCCTTAGCCTACATTTTCATCTCATTTTGTTTGGCAACACACCAGCATGGCTGACAACACGAACGAGTAGGTTTCTAAAAATTCAACATCAGTTATATGGGATTGTGGGATTTGACATTTTAGACTCAGTATAAACAATGATTATTTGCAATATGCAAGAGCAAACTTACCATGACTATTTTGGAAAGACATCACTAATGCCTTGACATTAGGGAGATAATACCTATCAATACAACTGAAAACAGGTACTTAAGCAATTTCTACAAATCCTCATTACAAGTTACAAAGTTACATTTGTTTCTAATTTTTTTTTATTTATGTTAATAATACAAATATTTTGCCAAAGAGTTTACAGTAGAAAATGTATTCAATATTGAAGTTTCCAAAGAAACAGAACATTTCAGACAAAAGTTGTGCAAGCAAAACACTTCTGTTATGTGATTCCCTGCACATTTACAATATCTAAATGTATTTATGAAACAAACTACTAATAGTCACTGGATTTATAATCATCAGCAATTAATACTTTTGACAGCTGGGCACATTGACCGGGCTCTCCACCAATCCTGGTTAAGGCTGGCACAGTCCACAGTTACCTTTCCAATCACAAGCACTACAATACAGGCTCTGAGAAAATTCCACTCCTTATTTTTGTTATCTCATCACTTGCAAATACAGTTTCATTTAAAATATGCCATATTGATAATTCAGCTTTTGGCCTCTAGAGTGTAGTGTTGTTTAGCATGTAATTAATTTTTACCCACTTGTTTTATATTTGAGGGTTATATTCTGCTTTTTCACCCCTTTCTTTCATAGACATTATCAAAAGGACAAATGCAAGATACTTTGCAATAGAAAGAGATTTACATGCATCAGTAATCATATTAACAATGATCGGGTTTAGTTAAAATTGGGTTTTCATTTTTGTGAGTATATACACATTAAGATATCAAAGGTGTCCAAATAATATCCCCCTTTTTCCTAACGTACCTAGTGATATTACTATCTTTGTAGTAGTAGTAGTAGTAGTGATAATAGTAGTTATTGCAGGTGTTATTAATACAAGGAGAAGAATACTAATATCGTTGTTTCATTGACTTTCACGCGTGAGTAACAGGAGGAAGTTCTTCAAAATTGTTGGTCACATCTATGACCATGCTTCTGCAAAAAAGTATTTGCTTGATTTATTCTGTTTGTGTGAATATCTCATCCTAAATAGTTTCAGAAATTAAAACAAAATCTAAGATAAAACAAAGGCAAGCTGAGTAAACAGAAAATGGAAAAAAAAAATACCCTTAAAAAATAGGTAAGCTGAGGCACTAACAACAACAAAAAAACTACCTATCACTATCAGTGTCATCCTTATTTGTTATACCTGTGGTGGATCCATTAATCCCTTAGAATGGCTTACATGTATGGAGGAATGACTCTGCCAAAATGAAAAATAAATAAATGATTTAAAAAGTCAATAAATCAAATCATTATATTTTTTTTAAGTGGAACCAAATCCAGTCCAATCTAACTTTTAATCTTTAGTAAACAGACGCGCAAACTTTCACTAACGCTGACCATGCATCTGAACTCAGTCAAGTCAAAAACTTAGTCAAAAACTTCAAAACATACAGTTTTCTATATTTCTGTATAAATATGACCTAAAACATCATCAGATTTTCACACAAATCCTAAAAGTAGAAAAATTTAATCCCAATCTGGGAATCCTCTGGGATTTTGGTGGGTTTCTCACATGAACTGCTTGCTTCAGGTCCTTCCACAATATTTCTATTGGATTAACGTCTTGGACATTGACTTGGCCATTCCAAAATATTAACTTTATTCTTCTTGAACCATTCTTTGGTAGAATGACTTGTGTGCTTAGGGTCGTTGTCCTGCTGCATGTCCCACTTTCTCTTCAGATTCAGTTCATGGACAGATCTCTTGACATTTTCCTTTACAATTCACTGTTATAATTCAGAATTTATTGTTCCAACAGTGATGGCAAGCAGGCCTGGCCCAGATGCAGCAAAACAAACCCAAACCATGATGCTACCACTACCATATTTCACATGCTGGAATGCTGTGTTTTCCTTTCTCGAAACATAACGCTTCTCAATTAAACCAAAAAGTATATTTTGGTTTCAACTGTCCACAAAACATTTTTCCAATGGCCTTCTGGCTTGTTCACGTGATCTTTAGCAAACTGCAGATGGGCAACAATGTTCTTTTTGGAGAGCAGTGTCTATCTTCTTGCAACTCTGCCATACACACCACTGTTGTTCAGTGTTCTCCTGATGGTGGACTCATGAACATTAAGCCAGCATGCAGCAATTCCATATGTCCTGTTAAAATATGATTCTCGCATTAAGTTTGTCAGCAAATGCAGAGTGAACTCTATTCAAATGAGCAAAAAAAGTACCTTGAATGCCAAGTACCTTGGCATTCATAAAGTTATAATTAATGGAACAACAGCCTCCCTATCATTGAGGAAATGGATTGTTGTTGGCAGAACAGGTGAAGATATTGTCTACTACACCAATGAGGAGAATGTACAGGAAATTTTAAAGACGACGGGTATAGATCAGAAAATAAATGAGCCAAGGTGCTATGTGGGTCATTGCTGTGATGGCCGAGATGTTAAGGTGTTAGACTTGAAATCCAATGGGGTTTTCTCATGCAGGTATAAACCCTGCTTGCAGCATGTCAGCTGTAAGTGTCAAGTCACTGGTGCTCAGTCTCCTTGTGTCTATTTTAAGTAAGTGGCACATGCAGCATGTTTAACTGGCAAAACTTTTAATCCACTATCCCAGACTGCTTTCATCATGGCTCAAGGTCCCAACCCTGTTACTGAAAGTGCTCCCTGTGGTGAAGAATTGATTGTTTTTCCTGCTCTGATACAACCACATCAAACAAGGAGAGCTGTTCATTATCAGAGTGATTTAATCCGGTGTGTTAGGAGCAGAGAAAACCAAAAAACATACAGTATATATGGCGTGGAAACGGGATCACGGCAGAGAAAATTACACTCGGCTGAGCAAGAAAGCTCCATGATTTTTCATACAGTCAGGCCTAATGTGAAAACAGACTCCTCGTCAGGGAATCAAACTACAGTATTTCATGTGACAGGCAGCGATACTGTCCACTATACTAACGAGTAAAATTAATTAATGCTTGTAAAGGCACTTGGCACTTTGGAAAGATCAAAACATAAATAAGCCAAGGAATTGCACTTATGCCTTGTCTCATGCTACATTCATGTGATGCCCAAGAGAATAAAGGACTGGACTTGAACTGCACTGGGGTTTTACCTAAGTTGAAGCCTGCTATGAACCTGAGCCTTAATGCAGAGAGAACTCTATTCAGATGAGCAAAAAAAGTACCTTGGCATTCATAAAGTTACAATTAATGGAAAAACAGCCTCCCCATCAGGGAGAAGATATTGCCCCAGGTGAAGATATTGCCCCAGTCTGCTTTGTATTCTAGTCTTAGGACTTCAATTGGCACGAACAGCACTATACTTTGTTTCCTCTCAAGGTTTCTTCCTCATATCGTCTCAGGGAGTTTTTCCTTGCCATTGTTGCCTCTGGTTTACTTAATCGGGATAAATTTATACAGTATATATAAAATATATATGCTGAATTTATATATTTTTGTAAAGCTGCTTTCTGAAAATGTCCATTGTTAAAAGAGCTATACAAATCAAATTTAACTGAAAATTTAATTGAACATTTCAGAGCTTTTGGACATCTTGGCTATTGTGTCCTTGAGACTCTGATTCTCTTTGCCTATTCTTCCCTATTCAGTCTATGTCATTATTACCTGTACTGCCCGTATCTGGCTTATTATCTATGAGTGAACATGTTACATTTCAAAGAGAGCAGTTGTCACTTTTATCAGTGTGGTGGTTGAGCTTTTGCCTCATCCATCGCCCTTGGACTGGTTTTGGAAGTCCTTCCACCATCTTGCTCCATTATAGTTTTGGTGATAGCTCTAAATGAGAACCTCTGTTTCTTTCAGCTTTAATGGAAACCACTGGTGTTGTGAATTGTAAGTACTTTGGGATTTTCTGCCCATTTATCTCCAGGGGAACCACAGTTTCACAAACCATTTGTGCCATCCATCCATCCATCCATCCATGTTTTCCAGGTCATGGGGGGCAGCATTCTAATTGGAGATGCTCAGATTTGGAAATGCCCAGACCTCACTCTCCCTACCCACTCCCTCCAGGTCATCTACAGGGTGTCCCAGGCCAGGGTGTCCCAGCCCAGAGGGGAAATAATCTCTCCTTCTAGTCCTTGGTCTGCCCCTAAGTCTTCTCCCTGTTGGACATGCCTGAAGCACCTACCCAGGAAGGCATCCAGGAGGGATCCTAGCCAGATGCTTGAACCACTTTAACTGGCTCCATTCAATGCAGAGGTGCAGCAACTTTATTTTCAGCTGCCCCCAAATGTCTGTGCTCCTCACCCTATCTCTAAGGCTGAGCCCAACCATTGTGTAAAAGAAGCTGATTTCCACTGCTTGTATCCACAACCTCATTCTTTCAGTCACTATACAAATCTTGTGGCCATAGATGAGAGTTGGGATGTAGATTGACCAGTAAATTGATAGTTTCACCTTTTGGCTCAGCACTCTCTTTATTATAATGAACTGGTACAATGTCCAGATAACTGCTGATGCTGTGCCAAACTGTCGGTCTCCTGCCACTCTAGCCTTACTTGTGAACAAGACCCCAAGATACTTAAACTAATCTGCTCAAAGCATTAGGGAAGTACTTTTCTGGCCGCGAACCATGGCCTCAGATTTGAAGTTGTTGACCCCCATCCTGGCCGCTTCACACTCAGCTACAAACCACCACAGAGCATGCTGGAGGTCACTGCTCGATTTGACCAAATTATCTGCAATAACACGTACTGGAAAAGCGATCCTGTCGGACTTTATGGGTCCCAATGGCTTTTTTGTACCCCATGAAAAGTAAGGCATGTAAACCAATTTTTAGACATTTTGAACTTACTGGGTGAAGGGAAAATCACACAGACTTTGAGTGTGGCCTGGAGCGCCACCTATGGGCTCATATGGGCCATTTGTGGTGTGGGAATTACTCTGGGCCTGTAGTATCAATGTGCCAAATTTCTAAACTTTTTAAAATTCAGAGATATTGGGAGATAATGAGAATACCAATAATAAATATAGAAGGAATCAGCAATGGTGGATTGCTCCTCAAGATTGGGGACCATGGTAGAGAAATGTATTCCACAGATAAAACAGTTCAACGCATTTGGATCAATGGCAGATTTTAAGTTAATTTTCATAGTTTTCCACAAAAATCAATAATGTGGACATTAAGGGTTCTTATGAGTTTTTTGTTCCAATTGAGCAACTCAAGGCATGCATACCAACTTTCAGACATTTTGGCCTGATCCAAGACAAACAGCGCCATCTAGCGGACGATAAAGATATTGCTAAACATAATATAACCTATAATCAAAGATTACATGACAGTTCCTTTTAATGTCATTGTTTTTGGAGATATGAGGTTGCCATCGTATATGGTAACATACTGTAGTGTCCTCTTCATGTGGCACAGATCAAGTCATAGGTTAATTTTCCATTGATTTATGGACACAAAAAATATGTGCAACAGTTGTCAATTCACCAATATGTAAATAGTTCGGCCAATTTTTATTTGATTCCTTATTGCTTATCACCCTATAGGAAGACATGTATCCCACACGTGTACCACAGTTCAAGTCAATTGGACCTCATGAGGTGAAGATTTTTTGCAGTTTTGGACAAATTTTCAATGTACTGGAAAATCTAACATGGCGATCTTTATGGGTGCCAATGGCTTTTTTGTTCCCAATAAGAAATAAGGCATGTACAGGCTACCGATTTTTAGACATTTTGGAGGGAAAATAAAGAAGATTTGGGTGTGGCCTGTAGCGCCACCTATGGGCTCATGTGGGCCATTTGTGGTGTGTCAGTTACTCGGGGCCTGTAGTATCATTGTAACAAATTTAAGAACTTTTTACCATTCAGATCTTGAGTTATTAGGCACTTTAGGGAGATAAGGAGAATAATAATAACTAGAAGAATACTAACAAAAATAATAGGTTTCCTCCTGGTAGGTTTCCTCCACCAGTCCAAAGACATGCATGGTAGGCTGATTGGCATGTCCAAAGTGTCTGTAGTGTGTGAATGTTTGTGTGCCCTGCAATGGACTAGTACCATGTCCAGGATGTGTCCCGCCTTGTGCCCGATGTTCCTTGATAGGCTCTATATTCCCAATAGGATAAGCTGTATAGAAAATGGATGGATTATTGTATCCATTATCAATTAATGGATCTTGTATGGTAGCATTACTTGTATTGTTCTCTGCCTGATATATTGCTTTGCTTGTATTTTCTTATTTGTAAGTCGCTTTGGATAAAAGCGTCTACTAAATGAATAAATGAAAAACGTAAATGTATTATTATCAGTTACAATGACCCTTAAAGGAATGAAAACTGATGTTTTTTTGGTTGTACAAATGCTTTATTATAATTAAATCATTTTTTAAAAAATAATTCAATAGAAGTATATGTAAAAAGTCTCCCTTTTGAAAATAAATAAGAAATCTCCCGTTTGAACAAAAGAAATTAGAAGGGGGAAAAAAGGTGCTGTGGCTTTGTTTGGAACCATTTTTGTAAAATAAAACAAAAACAGACAATAATGAGTCTAATATGTAAGTAACTTAATATTAACTTTTGTTTACATGTTAGCATAGCATGTTAAATTAACTACTAAATGAAAAATAACATCAGCTGTTTGAGCTTTTCAAATTATGTCCTACTGCAGCTACGCAACAGTGCACCCAGATTGCTCCTGTCTGTACCTTCAACTCTCTCTTTCTCTCTCTCTTTCTTTCTCTTTCTGGAGTGAAAGCATGCTGTCTCTTCAGCATGGCGTCAGTTGTGTGCCGAAGAGTGGAGCTCAGGTGGTGGAGGTTCTGTTAGCGGATGGGTGTGAGAAAAGCAGTGGTGGTGTCCCTGAGGCAAATAAACCTCATCAATAAACTGAGCCAAACTGGAATATGGGTGAAAGGAGCCCAGGTACAAGTTTCCCCTCTGTCTGCCCCTGCAACATGAGTCATCATCTTTAATGTTCATTCATGATGAAGTGATAATAAAGGAGCTGGCCCATTTTGGGAAATTTGTCAGTCCAGTGAGAATGATTCCACTCAGCTGCAAAAACTCAGCAGTGAAGCATATCTTGTCCATTTGTAGACAAGTTGTTTTTATGTTGTGATGCAGGAGAATGAGGGCCCAGAGTGCAGTGCAGGAACTACAAGAGGGGAACTGCTCACAGACATGGAGGAGGCAGAGGTCAACCCATATCAGCCAAATAACTTTTTTTCAGAACAGTCTGAACAACTGTACTGCACAGAACAGATTAACTGGGTTTTAAAGTCTCTCTCTCTCTCTCTCTCTCTCTCTCTCTCTCTCTCTCTCTCTCTACACACACACACACACACACACACACTCAGATCGATGTCATTAGCCATGTATCCGTTCACGTATTAATATGCGAAATTCGTGATTTCATATATCATATATTTTACACAAGACGTACAGTAAGTACAAATTCTATAAACCAAATCAGTAATTGCGTCTACTATATATATATTATTGACGTTAGTGCACTATAATTCTTCGTTCAAACCCT